GCCAGGCGGCGCCCGCACCGGCACCTGCGGGCGAGAGGGGGCGGCGTCACCTCACGGAGCGCCCTCACCGAGCCGCCTCTGCCGCCGCGCTGCCCCCGTGCTCCGGGGCACTGGGGAGAGCGGCAGGAAGGCCTCGGGAAGTGCGCTGGTATTCCACAGGCGGCGTTAGGAAGGGTCCCGCAGGAAGGGACGCGGCTGTGCGGTGGCACGGTGCCGAGCCTGCCTCAGAGCACACCCAAGTCCTCCAGCCGTGAATCAGAACAGCACACACTCTTCAATTCCTAACCGCGAATCCCTCCGATTAGTTCCCAGCACTATTCATAGAACCACTATTCTAAGTTAGAAGGGCCCACAAGGACTGTCAAGTCCAACTCCTGGCCCTGCACACGACATCCCCAAGAATGACACTATGTCAAACACTCTGGAAATCTGTCAGTACAAAGTATGGCAAAAGCTTTAAACCATCTTCAGCTCTACCCTGGCCTGAATACTGCTCTCTCATCTTGCTGCTTCTGCTGCCACACATCCAGGCCAGCAGATTCCACAGCCACCTGTCCAGCCTGTTGTCACACCAAGGAACATCAGCTGTGGCCAGACTTTCTACCATCATCCACCCTGTTCCCAACACTTCTACCAGCCTTCCTAAGAATTCCTGGCAAGCAGCATTTAACCGGCTTTAAGAAAGGAATGGAAGATGGTCTGAAATACAGCTGAACATCCGACTACTTAACCAGTAAGTTATCCACTAGCCATTCAAAATCCCTTAGTTTTCCTGGCATTCAACCTAGAGTTTCCTTCAGAACTTAGAAGCTGCTCCAAAGTGCTTGGCCCTGGAGATGGTACAGCACTTCAGGAGTGCTCAAAAGCTAACAGAAATGTGCCTGAATTTTTTTCTAAATACTCAGTGGAGACAGAATTATTAAGCATAATCAGAAGTGAAGGCAGAACAGCAAAGCTGAGAGTAGCACTGGGAACACAGTCAAAGATTGTTTCATGCCAAAACAGAGCTGGGAAAGATGACAGTAACAGGATCCCTCCTTGGCATAATGGTGAGACAGCACTCTAGCTCCAGAGGGACAAGGCCTCAGCCAGAGGGAGCCAAACATTTCTCCTACTCCAACACACAGAGAAATGATTGAGCAGCCTGAGGGGGAAGCTACACACCACCTTCCCTGGAAAGTAATATGGCCCACAGACATGGGCTAAAAAGAGCAAGAAGAAAGGCACACAATTCTATTGGCAATCCTGTCTGTAGAAGGTGAACTTTAGGCTGTCAATCCCTGCAAAGAGGCAGAAGCCTGGGCTGATGGTATGCCTCCAGGGATTTTTCTCTCTTTCTCCACTACCATCCTGAGACACAGTCCACAAGCTCAAGCACAGAATTCTAACTCTGATACAAGAGCACTTTCCTTTTTCCTACATTGCAAAACCATAGTAGGAAAATTGCTGTGCTAAGTTAGCAATATAGTACTGCCACTAGAGGGACTGTCACGGATCAGGGAAAGCCATGAGAATTACAGCAACATAAAATGAAAGTATCAGTGAAAACCCGTGCTATTTGCCTAAAAATACATTAAACCATGCACGTCTGCAGGAGCAAAACAACAAAATAAGTCAATTCCAAATGGTTACCTTCAGCAATGTGTTCGCTGGCACTGTCTCCTGAATCAACTGAACCAAAGGACGTATCTTCCAGGAGTGGTCCTCTTTCACTATCATACCCTTCTTCAACTTCTCCACTATCTGAGAAGTTGGCCTCTTCATGCTCAGGTGGAACACTGACAGTCCTCTCCTCCTCCTCCTCCTCAATAGGCTTCTCTGGCCTCTTATCTTCAATGAGCTGCTGAAATTCCTCCTGACTGCCCTCATCAATGATATTTGGGTTTCTGGTGGAAACACTGTCATATTCAGCCGCTTTTGTACCATCTGTGACAGACAAGGAGATATGAAATAAGCACTGACCTAATGTGTATTTCTTACAACTACCTTCAGTGAAATGCTGCATGTAACAAAGCTTTCTTGACACTTTTTTAATATTTCAGCTTGCGTATTGTTTCAGTATATTCCAAATCAACTTCCACTAACATGTAATTAAATGTCTGTATGAAATTCATGAATGATATCAACCACTGACCTCGCAGCAAAACACTGCAAAGTGAAATATTTGCATCATTCATGACCTTATCAGAAATCACATACTTAACACGTACTACTGTAAGAGAAGCCTGGCTAAAAGCGTATCTTAACATCTTGCACACTAACCAGAAAACCCAGCAAGTTTGCAAAAGACTCTACCTCTGGTTCTTGCCCAATTAAAAGATCTGTTTGTTCAGTATTTCTACTTACTCTTTTATGAACATGGGCAAAAATATGATTATAAAGAGACCCTAGATTTTAGGTGCCTGGATTTAGTACCTGGACTTCACATTAATCACCAAATCTTTCACAATCAGGTGATAATTAGTTCAGAAAAAAAAGACTGCTCTGAACCCTCCAGAAAATTCAGCTCATTAGTATATGTGGATCCCTGTTTCTTAAGGAGACTTGTCCTGAGTGGATCTCACTTATCTTACACAGAACTTGGCCCAGGAGAACAGGTGTGCTGAACTCAATATCTTCCCTTAGGATTTGTCCCTGGGCCACTCTCATCACAATGTTAAAAACATGCATTAAAAATAAGCAAAATCCCAGGTTATTGCCCAAGGCCTCTTTCAATTCTACTCTCTCACCCTCTTCCTAAAGTTTCTCTGTGTTAGTGTTGCTTGGGACAGGATTTTACTTCAATTTAATCTACTTATTAGCTAGTTTAACATCCTACCTTGAATGTGCAGCTGATCATCTTCCTGTTCTGGAGGAGAAGCAAGTGGGACACTCTCACCAGCAGATGAATATTTACTCCTTAATGAATATATTAATTCTTGAATATCATCCATAAGTGCACTCTCCTCATCATACAAATCCATCTCTTTCACCACCTCCTCCTTATTTTCTGCTACCCTGGAATCCAGAACTTTTCCTACAACATCCATAATGTTTGATTCTGAAAACTCCAGTATCTCATCCAGAGCTTTCTCTATGTCTTCATTATTCTGGCTCGCCATCTGAGCAAGCTCCATCTCCACCTTCATGTCGTGGAACATGGCTTCAATCTTAACCACGTGCTGGAGCCCAAGGTACTTCTGTAGGCGCATCACGCGCTTTTCGTCAAGGAAATCTCTCATTATTGAGAGCTGCTTCACAGACTCACTGAAGCCTGTTACAGTGTCACTGCTGGCTTCTGAGCTGTCAGCCGGGCTGGGGACATGGGCAGATTGCTGGTGGTCATTTCTTGTTTGCTCTAAAATTTGCACCTCTTTTGAGTCTTTCTGTGAAATGCTCTCTGGGAGATGATCTTTGCTTTGGTCAAAGTCATTGCTGTCTTCTGTGTGAGGAGACTGGAAATTATGTTCTTCCACAGCTGATGGTTCCTCAGGTTCAGAAGACTCCTCATCAGCTTCCATGACATGTTGCATCTCATCCAATTTAGCATTTTTTCTTCCTGATATGTACACTTCTTTGTTCCCAGTCTCGCTTGCATTTTGCATGCTGATTGTATTAGCCTCCTCAGGGAATGACTTTGTTTCTTCTCCTGTTTTGTAAGTAGGATTTGGGGTTCCTGAAACAGCTTCACTTCCTTCTAATTCAGGATTTGTATTTTCACTACCTAGTGTATTACCCTGGACATTTGCAGTCTTGGCTTGTGACAGCTTTGCACTTGCTGCATTTTCATCTTCCAGAAGCTCATCATCTGCTTGTTTCAGGTCAGGGTCATCTTCAACATCTGCTTCTTCAGATTGCAATTCTGCTCTCTGTGCTGTTTCTTTAGCCAAATCTTTGCCAAGATTTCTGTCTGATCCTGCATCCTCAGGATCAGCAGTTCCTTGCCGAGTAAGATTCTCTGTATTAGTGTTCTGCATGGTGCTTTCTGATTTTTCTTCAGGGGAACTTGTAACAGAGCTGTCTTTAAATGCTGGCATCTTGCCAAGATTTCTTGAAACTTTTTCATTCACCTCTGCCTCTGAATACTCAGTCTCATTTTCCCATGGCCTAGGTTGCTCAACAACTCCGCTATAGCTTGGGTCTCCTTCGCCTGCAGGGTTTTCTATTTTCAGTTCTTTGCCAGAAGGGGCAGGACTTTTATTTTCAATTTTTCCTGCTTGTTTTAAATTTTCTTCATGTCTGAGAAGTTCTTTCTCCACAGCAGGCATTCCATGCTCCACTTTCTGTCTCAAGAGGTCAGTATCTCCTGGGTCACCTTGAGATGCATTTTTTACCTCTTCCACCAGTTTGGCTGGAGCATCAACTGGAGGCACGTTCTCAGCTTCCCCCATCTCCATTGCTTTCTCCCATGATCTTTTGTGCTTTAAATCACTTTCCAAGGACTCCTCCAAGATACCATCCTCAAACTGTTTCTCACTTTTCTCTATTGAAGCAAGTGGAACTCTTTCAGGACTTTTGTTGATATCATCATCAGTTGGTTCTGAAGCATCTTCCTTGTTTTTAAGAAATGATTTGGACTCCAGAGCATTGCCTGGACTAGGCGAAGCATGAGGATCAGGCACAGCTGTACCTTTCACTGCTGCAGAATGTGACTCTGTTCCATCAGTGAACTGCTCTTCCAGCTGTTCAGTTTTGTTGGCTGTTTCTTTTGAACCCAGATCATCTGTACCCACAGGTTCCTTTCTGAGGGGTTCTTTGGAAAGATCCTCAAGCTGAGTTGTTACTGGTGCTTCTCTTTTACTAATTAGCACCACCTCATCCTGTTTCTCTTTTGTTTGTTTAGATTCAGATCTGTCTACACTTACAATGTCACCCAATTTCTTGCTCTTACTGAAAGCATCCTTAAGAATTAATGTATCTGAACCAGGTTCCTCCCCATTGTCTCTTTGGTTATTTAGCTTTGTAGCACCCTTTGCAGCTTCATCAGGTTCGTGATTTTGTGACTCAACGTCATAGTTTCCATCATCTTCTAAATCCACAGGGGATGTAATTTCATCCTCTGCCGTAAAAGACAGCAAAGGGATTTCTGCAGACTGATCTGCAAACTCTGGCTCCTCCTCTTCACTGTGAGGATTAATGCTCAAATCTTCATCTAAATCATCTTCCAGTGACGTAACAAGGCGAGTCACTTCATCATCTGATACAACAGCATCAGCAGTTGAGCCAAATTTTGTTTTTAAGTTCACAGAGAGCTCTCTGTTTAAAAGTGTATAGGCATTGACTTCTTCATTCTCTTGGTCAAGTTGGCTGTTTTCACCCTGAGGAATACTAGTGTTTTTGGTATTTTCACTTTCTAGCCCTTTTAATTTCCCATGTAGCATTCCTTTCAAGTGCTCATGTGCAATTTGGTCTCCCTGAGAGTTTTCTTTGTGACTATTGACACTGGAGTCTCCCCCAGTATTTTCAGTTCCTTCTGTAAGAGAATTGTCAACTTTGTCTGTCAAGGCAAGTTTTTCCTTTTCTTCTTTGATGCTTTGCTCAAGATTGTCTGTCTCCAAAGCACCAAGGGACTTTCCTTTATCAGTCTGTTCAGCCTCCTTATCCTTCTCAATTCCTTCAGCTGGTTTTGTCCCTGAATCACTCGATTCAGTTTCCCCTTCATTTGCTATTGTCTGTTGCAATGACTTCAGAAGTTCATCTACATTATAATTATCAAAGTCATCCCTTCCTCCATCAAAGCAAACAAAATCTGTTTCCTGAAATGAAAAGCAATACAGTCAAAAAATATTTTCTTTATAACAGTGATGAGACCAAATACATTTACCTACTTAAATAGAGATGCAGCAGCAAAGTAAACTGTATTAATCACACAGAATTAACTCTATAACCAAAACTCTCTTTGAAATCAGGGGAGGTTTTGCCCAAGGATTCATGAAAAAACTAAATAAAAAGATTTTGCAGGAACAAAGTGTAAGGCAGCAATGGAGCTGGCAGTATTACACTGCTCTCATCACCATATGTCCTGAGTGAAGAACAAGTCTATTGCTGAATGCCAGTGAACAGAAGAAAACAAATGTTGCTAAGCTTGTGTGTCACAACTGCTGTTAACTGGTGTCCCCTTAAAGGACCAAGTCCTCCAAGCAGGAGCTCTCTGTCATGCCATTTCGGAAAAATAAATAGAAGCAGCGCGAAACACTGAACACTATTTCATAGAACCACAGAATGGCCTTGAGTTGAAAGGGATTTAAAGGTCATCCCATTCCAATCCACTGCCATGGGCAGGGACAACTTCCACTAGAGCAGGTCACTCAAAACTCCATCCAAATTGCCGTTGAACAATCCAGGGATGGGGCATCCACAACTTACCTGGGAAACTTCTGTCAGTGCCTCCAAAGAATTTCTTCCTAATATCTAATCTAAACCTGCTCTCTTTCAGTTTGAAGCCATTCCTCCTTGTACTGTCACTACATGCTCTTATAAAAGGTCCCTCTCCATCTTTGTTGTAGGCTCCTTTCACGTACTGGAAGGCTGCATTTAGGTCTCTCTGGAGCCTTCTCTTTTCCAGGGTAAACAATCCTACATTTCTCAGCCTTTCCTTGTAGGAAAGGTGCTCCAGCCTTCAAATCACCTTGGTGATCTCCTCTGGAATCATTCCAAGAGGCTGTTGTCCTTCATGTGCTGGGGACCCCAGAGCTGATGCAGCACTGCAGGTGGGGTCTCACCAGCACAGAGCAGAGGGACAGAATCCCCTCCCTTGCCCTGCTGGCCACAGTGCTTTGGATGCAGCCCAGGATTTGCTCGACTTTCTGTGCTGCAAGCACGCCTAAAGCTACAGCCTCAAAAGGCTTTACTGACACAACTCTGGAGTTGCTGCTATTAGTGCATGAAAGCCAGCCATGTGTGAAAGGGCTGCAGGACCAATTCTAGAATCAAAGGGCTAAGTGTACCCAGTTTTGTTTGTTTCTGACAGTACTTTAAACTTGGAAAGTTTGGGAAAATAAGCCATTTTGATTACACACGTGCAGGCCCACACACAAGACAGCTAACAGGACCTACAGGGCTCAATCCAGCTTTCTTCAGAAGAAAACCTTAACATTTGAGAAAAGAAAGGTCAATGCCCACATTTTGGGCTGATACTTTCACACCCATGCACATAAAGGGCTGCACAAACATTCCACCCTGCCCACACACATGTGCACCTCTGCACATATGTAGCTGCTTACTAACAAAAAGTTACTAAAAATCACTAGTTTTCCCAATTTCTTCCTTGGGATTTTTACTGAATGCCGAGATAAGAAACAGTAAAACCCTAACTGAAAAAAAAGCCAGAACAAGACTTACATCTGTTGGTAATTCTAGCTCCTCATTGGAATAGTTATGATTTATTTCAAGTAAATCCTTTGGAAAATATCCAAAATCACTTCCAACCTGCAAAATAAAAGCCCAAAGAAAACACAAACAAACAAAAAGCAGTAAAGAAGATTTAGAAACAACATGGCTATGTCATAAATTGCAGACACCAGTAGTAAATATGTTGAACTCACTCTCAAGTATTCTAAATAAAGTTTAACACAGTGAATAAAAGACCAGTGATGCCTTGTTTATGCAAGAGTTTTCAGTAAGGTTTTATACTTAAATTTCTCTAGAGCCTTGTGAAGATGGTTTAAGTTTGACTCTTCATGTTTTAAAGCCTGACTTATAATTTATAAGTTATTAGGAAAATAAAACCCAGGCCTTCTGGCTCTCGTGCTTTAACTGCTATTGTGCAGGTACCAGAGGCACCACACACACCTAAAGGATTTTCTCAAGTAGTAAGCAGAAGAGGATCTTTGACTAATGAGATTTACATCCATGTACAGTATCATAGCCCAAAATACTCTCTCTTTGTAACTTACGGGAAAAAAATTCTTAAAGCAGATTGTAGAGAAATGCAAAATTGTACTCAATATATGAATCATTTAAAAACCTGTTTGGAAAACATACCTCCCTCTGCAAATGCTCTTCAGTGCCTGACATAAGCCAAAATCAGTCACAGAATGGTGATTTTCAATGTGCTAAGGCAAGGCAAACAGTGGAAGACAAGAATCTCTCTTATCACTCACCAGATAAGATCTACACAGAGTAATGCTCTCACTTGAGAGTTCTGACAACAGCTGTCAAGAAGCCAATATTAATAGCATGCAATCACTACACTGATTAGATAATTAGGTAATTAGAGCCTGGTGGAAACACCTAGAAAGGTACAGAGTTCCTAGACAAACAAAATATCTGAGGAAAAAAAATAAAGTTGGTCATTTCCTCAATCATTTGTTACAGAAGAAAGATGACAATTGCCAATTTTCTTGAAGAGTTTGTGTAGGGAGAACACTCAGTTAAAGTTCAAATTTAAAAAGAAACTGGGAATTGAACATTAAGGATACACAGATATATTGTTACACTGATAGCACTGAAACAGGTTAACCTTGCCTGAAGCTTTCTGGATTTACAATGGTAAAAAAAAACCAAAGAAGAAATCAGTATCTAGTAAATAATATGTACTAATAATTTTTGGAGGTGTTTGTTTTAATATGCAAGCAAAGTAAGCACTGATGCACTATAGGACTTCCTTTTGAAACTACTTCTTACTCAGATCTTACCTTCCATAGTTGATATCTTTGAAGCTAGTTACACATGTATTAAGAAACCCCAAACTGTTCCCTCCCCACCTTTTGTAAATGCACATGTTCTCTTACTGAAAACAGATCATATATGCATGTTTATTATCGAGAATTACCAATGGGATTGGGAAATTCATTTAGACAAGTAAAATCAAAAGCTTGTCTTTGCATGGTACACTAGAGTTTAATTGTAAATTGGCTTATTTCTCTCTGCAAACTTCTAGACCAGTTTTTAATGATCTTTCTGAAAACAAAAGTTGGAGCTTCAAAGTCTCCTTACAGACTAATCTCTGTGACAACCATTAGATTCAGACATCACAACTTGAAACCCCTTTATTGCAAGCCAAGCTGCTGACCATACAAGTCTCGGCAGTGACACAGTTTGCCACTTCTCTGGTTTATAAGCCATATGGGATCTGCCTGCCCAAAATTTCATCTGCTTCTTTCCTTACAAGTCCTCTCTTGTAAGGGGGGAAAAATGCCTCATTGTGCAAATAAAGAAAACATTCATTCTCTACAGACAGAACAGAGGAAAGGCACTATCAATGCCAAGTGTATAAGGGAGAAATAGCCACTCTCCTCCCAGCTAAAAAGTTGTGCATGGACAAAACACGTGGCTGTCTGTACAGCATCTGGCCCCCCTTGTGCCCACGTGTGACAGGCAGCTGCCGCAGATTCACTGACCAAGAAGCCTCACACCATCTATCAGAAAACAGAGAGCTGGGGAAGATAATGTTTAAATCTTTTTAATTTTAAAGCCCAAATCCCTAAAGCACAGGCATCACAGGTAACTAAAACTTCAGAGCACAAGACAAAGATGAGCTGGTTTGCACCTACTGAGCAGTGTTAAAAAAACACAGTATTGCCCTAACCCTCTGGGTCCTCCAGAAATATTGTCTTTCTGTTCTACTTAATTTTATCCACCCTATCTTCTTTTCTACTAACCTATGTACAGTGTTTGAAAACAAACAAAAACAAAACAAAAATCAGCAACACAAGTCACAATCTGCAGTCAAGTCCATTTCTTGTAACATGAGGCCAGAAATGGTTTCAACCTTGAATCAAAGGTATGAAGTTCACCCCTTTGCCATGAGATAAAATAACAATCTTAAAGTGTCTTTGAGAAAATGTTTTGTGAACAACAAGCAGGTTTTACTTGGAATGATCTGAAGTACTTTTGGAGTTCTGGACCCTGCTAAAGTGATGGCAGAGCACAGGATAAATGCACAGGAACTTTTAAAAGAACATGATGGTGTAAGCAACACAAGATTTATGCTGAAGAGGAGACTGATTTACAGCAGGATACTGTGCAGAAGAAAACGAGAGTACCTGATATGCTCTGTCTTTTGGCCCTGGGGGAAATAAAAATCAAGCATATTCCTCCAATTGATGTATTAATTAAATTCATAATATAAAATTACCATTAAATAATGGTAATGAATTATTTTCCAAGCATATGACTTTGCTTTACTATTGAGGTTTAGAGAGCTCTGCTAAAAACTACAGGACATATAATGCATAGAATATATATTATAGCTGGGTTCTAGAATTTTTTCACATGCAAAATACCCAGTGAACATAGTGTGTGCTCTGTGAGCAATTTATACCAGACTTTGTAAGCAAAGTATACCAGACTGGCATCACAATATAAAGGAGCTATTTTGTCAAAATACAACATGTTTGCTGGCACAGGGAAAAAAAAAAATCAACAATGGCTTGAAAAGGGTGAAGTGAATTAGAAAAGCAAAGGAAAATAAAGCCCAGTCCCAACTGCTATAGATTTTTCAGCCCTGGTTGAATGGCCCCTTTTCTTATCAGATCTGGCTCTTCAGGCCAGAAATACTATTGTATTTCTCATGGCTCCTTCAAATTGATTTTGGAACTAGAATCTGTATTTACAACTTGTTTGAGATAAGCCCCAAGTTGCATTAGCTGAAGGGTCTCATACACATATTTCCCTGACCTCTACTCACACCTGGCAATCAGAATTCCAGTTAGCCCTTGATTTCATAGCTTCTATTCTGCCCTAATAAATCCTTTCCCAAAAAAACCCCAAACCTTTGGGGAATGGAAAAAGGCAGTAGGGTACATGGATGGGATCAAATGATGGACACAAAGCCCAAATGAAGTCACGCAATGAGATCCCAAAAGGACCATGGCAGAAGGTAACATGCCTTCCATTGGAATTCTTTTGATGGCAGACCTCACTGGGTAGCCTGGTTTTAATTAGCAAGCAGCAGCTTCCCCCTGGCTCCAAGACTTCCCACAGCAGGCACAGCTGGCCTGCATAAATCAAGCTGCACAGCCAAACCTGGCATAGGAAATCAGGCTGCCCAGCCAAACCTGACACAAGAAGTCACGCTGCAGGAGAGAGACCCCAGTGCTATCTGTGAGTCAGGGACAGGGCAGATATGCCAGTGCCCTACTCAAAATGCAAAGGAGGGCACCTCTGACCCTGCTGCAGCACTTCCAGTCTGGCTGTTGCAGTGTTATGATTAATGCAGCAGCAGTCAATCAAAGACAGGTAAAAGAAATAAAGGTTATAGCCACCAACCAAAAGGAATCAGTCTGGCAGCACTGCCCTAAAAGGAGCACTGAAAGCCGTGTAACACAATTGAAAAATGACAACAAATAAAATGGAGCTTTGCAATTCTTGCTGACCTGCCAGCTGCAGCTTTTACTTGTTAAACTCAAAGCAAACATCCTTTTAGCTTGGAGACACACCTAACTGTTGCATGAGCCTATCAGTGAATAATTAAACTGAATATTAACTCAGCAATTACCTTAACCTGCTGTCTGATCTTGTTGCCTACATTATACCTTGTTAGAAAATGCAAAATTGGCCCCATGCTGCTGCTCTGTATCTCGAGAACTGGCAGCCCTGGAAACCTGTACCAGCTAATTACCCAGATTATTTATGGTACAGAACATGTCAGAAGGGAATTACCAGCATGACAGAATTATTAACTCTTCTTTAACCACGTGCTGCATTTTTTCTATTCACTTCTGTATCTTAATTGGATTCAGCTCCTACTGAGAGCTTGGCTGTCCACACCCAGCCTGAAGTGGTTACAGAAAGTGATACATCCTGATTTTCACTAAACCACTGGCCCCACAGTAAACACCCCGGTGCGGTTTCAAGCACCCTGGACCACTGTCAAAATTGTTTCTCCTTTGTAGAAGACCAGAGTAAGAAAGAAGGTCGGAGTAAACAATTTGGATGCTAAAAAGGATGTAGAGGAAATATGGTGAAGAAGCAACAGGGGCTAGGTCTAAGCAACCTCTGGATTGCCAACATTTTCAAGGAAACCCATAAAAATTGCTCTTCCTCCACAGTACCTCAGTTCTGCCTCTGCCAGGCAAAAAAGGTGCTTATGAAAGTTGAGATGAGCTTTCTACGAAGTAACTGCAAGGATGGGGATGCTCCTTCCCCATTAGCAGAAGCCTCTCAGTTTGTCTTGCTGACTCAGACAAGGCCACTGCTCTGCAAACTGCTACAGCACAGCTGATAGAGACAGACCTTTTAGAAATCAAATTTACCTTAATCCTTTCTAGTATTACTACTTATTTTTCCTCCAACTCTGCATGCAGCTTAGATGAAAAGGGGAAGAAGGCAGATGAATATTAGGACGAGAAACACAATTAAAACATGCACATGCAGCGATCTTTAGCAGGATTACAGAGTGCAGGATGAGACCACGTCATGGGAAAACACAAGCACAAGCTTAAGCCACCCTAAGTGGGAAGGGAGGCTCAGCTTCCAGGTAGGCCTATGGCTACCACCACTGAAAGTGCTGCAATAGGAGGTTTTCAACACCAAGGCAGTTTTCTAACAGTTTTCAGACACATTAGTGTTGCCCAATTTTCACAGTACTCAGGTTTGATGAAACCTTATCCCGTTTCCCATTTCCAGCCTCATGACAAAGCAGCATTCACTGTGTTATTTAGCCATGTTCAAAACTCCAAGCATTCTCTTACAAGGAAAAAGGAATGAAAATAGATTACCAAGAACAAATAGAATAAATGCTTTACAGTACTTACACTTCCAGCCCAAAGCTCAGTTGATTCTCCTATTAGTTTATAATATACATATACTGCTTCTCCCTTCTTAAAATTTACGAAGCGACAATCTGGACCTTTAAAATCCTGCATGGCCTTCCCTCGGCACATTAACACTGTTGAAAGAAAACAAAGAGAAGAGTATGACTTAAAAAAGAATTTACATGAAAAGTGTCTTTGCTAACTGGCAGTAAACAAGACCTCCTCGCATGCACCGCTTTGCTATTTTCCAGATTGGGTCAAGAGATAAGAACTAAAGAAAGTATAACTAAGAAATTTCTAGTTATAATTAACACAAACAAACAAGCCAAGTTATAACTAAAAAGAAAAAAAGCAAAAAAAGCGAGTTATAGCTAAAAAAGAAAAGCAAGCATTCTAGTCAAGACAAGGCTTTGACAAAGCACTGGAGAGCTGTACTTCAGGAGTGCGCTATAAAGCTAATTATTAATGTTAAATCAGAAAGATAACATCTGTGTCCCAGCGAATAGGTCCTGAAATTATCCCAGAGAACACCCAGAGAGCGGGTTTATCACGAGAGGGATTTGCAGGAGGGAGGAAAAAAAAAAAAAAAAAAAGCAGCCAAACACGGAGCTGCGGGGATCAGAAAACTTGGCCGAGGAGAGAGGGACGGCGCGCGTGGGCGTTGCGTTCCCGTTTCCCCGATTCTCCCCGGTTCCCGTGCCAGAGCCGGCGGAAGGAGAGGGCTTTGGGAAGAACCTCCGGGAGGCGTCTTCGCCCACAGCCCCCGTTGCCGGGGCCGTGCCCGCCGCCCCCACTCACTGCTGCACTCGAGGTCGGCGCAGCGCTTGCGCTCGGCGAAGCGGCGGCCCAGGT